TAGAATATATACCAACCTAACCCACGAAAAACATCCCCTTGTGCATCTTTCAGTGTCTTCCCCTGCTCTGTAGTTATGCTGAGTGCAAGCTTGTCCTGGAACAATAATAGCTTTATCACTTTTCTGTCTATGCCAGTAAAAAAGACGTATATTGAAGAATTTACAAATCTTGCCATATTTTTTCGGATAAGATCTTGAAGTTTGAACATAATCCGTTGTCGAGTTGTAATTGGGGTATTACGCCATGAAGGAAAGGTCTCTTTGGCTGCTGCTACAGCTGATTTAAACTCCTCTCTTGTAGTTAATGGTATTTGAGAAACCACTTCTTGGGTTGCCTATGACGACAGCACAGAGAAAATAAATGACTGCCCCATATATTTAAAAGAAGAAATGAAACTGCTGTTCCAAGGACTCACGGGGTTCATGACATCAACTGATTCTGACGCTTGTGAATCTACAAAACTGCCACCAATCAAGTTCGGAATCCTCTGGTACACTCAAAACAAGTTTATTCACAATGAGCACAATTTATTGCACGCATGCAAATCTACATCTACTTTCGCGCAGAAAACAAAGACATAAACTTAAGTGCAGAAGAAGAAAGTGACTTACGAGAGATAATAAGGAACATGGTTAAAAGAAAAAGAAAAATGAAACTCAAACTTCCACTCCTTAATGTTCGATTCAAGTTTCTTTAAAACCAAATTTTGCTACAGGCTAAAATGAATAATAACAGAGATGATAAAAAAAGATGCTCCAATGTTGAGCTACAGGTTTATTATTTACTCCAAGAAAGCTATTACAACAGACCAGAATATTTTTTTAGAAGTATGCAAACTCGTTAAACACGATATATGTAGAAGAAGTTATCTTAGTCATATTTTAACGATCACGGAGCTGATTCCCAATCATTTCAGGAATTAGAACTACTCAAAATTTAACTAATATTACCAGTGAGCTACTTTTAATCCAAAAAAAAAAAAAACAAAGAGATAATTGTGCAGAAATACTAATATATAATAGTCCTTAGTATCTGTGAAATCTCACAAGCGAAGTCCGATGCCTCCAAGATGGCTCGGCGGCGGTGGAGAAGTGAGAACTCGCAATACCGAGTATCCGGAAACTCAACAACCTCATGTTCCTCCCTGCAAAACACCAATACACAATCCAATTCGCATGAACTAGGTTATTTTCTGCAACTCAATCAGTCATAACTTAAAATAAAACGCTATGATTGCTTCGTACTATCATCAAAATGCAATCATCATCGTCAAAAACCAAAAAATTAAAATCACCTCGGTGAAGTGAAAACTGCAACATGACTAGAATTTTAAGTCTGATTTGAGCAAGTCGTCTCCAACTCTCTCCCCAATCAAACAAAAGAGTCAGTGAGTTCAGCACTCACTTCACTAAGCAAATTTATACTACTACCGCCAGTTGCGTTTATTGCCAACCGTTGGATGGAGACCGGTAGTTTCAAAGTTGCAAGACGATGTAGCAGAATATTTCTCCAGTAGGTAGTTTGAGTCAAAACTCTTAAATAAATTGATCTTGTTCGGTTTCGATAATGATGAGCCACGTCAGAGCGGATTCAAGTTTTCTTTTTTTTTTTTCAGAGAAAATTTCCTAAAAATATTTCTTGACTTCCTTATAACTGTCCACAAAATTTTTCAAAACCTCAATTATTCACCAAAATCCTTTTAAGTAGTTAACTTTGATTAGATTTAATTTATCCACAGTCTTTATTGTCCCACCACGATCTCGATATAGAGAAATATGGACCATTATTAGATATCAATTTGTTTTTTATCAAACCTCAGGGGAACTAAGTGATATTATAAAAAGCCTCAAAGGAGGTTTCTGAAATTATCTCTTTTAATTATTAGTAATTGTATCAATTTCAAAATTTAAAATGCAAACTGCTATTATTATGAGAAATACAAGTTCAAAGAATGATTTTCAAGAGGAATTATAGAAATTTCCTATATGATGATTTAATATATCATCTTGTAGATTAGGAGACTAAGCACCGTGGAACGTACGGATCTAGGGCTAACTGATGTATACTGCAATTCATTAGGCTTGGATTTCCCCTAATTCGGACGTTAGTCATTTTTTTTTTCAAATAAAATAATATTTTTCTCTTCTGAAAATGATGGCAGGAAAAGAACTCAAAAGTTGTCTCAAAACCTCTCCATTTTGGGCTAATTCCTTAAAATATATGTAAAAAAAAAAAAAACAATCTGCCAAATGCACATTTGACAAGGAAGGTTTCTCATTTTATACGTGACGTGCTGAATCAGCACGGCCGCATAATTAAAATCCCTTCTCCCGGCCAACCACACTAACAGACGTCTGCAAAATTTTCAGTGAGTAGAAGGTCAGTCGCAGCCGTGCTGACTGGGCACAGCTGCAGCTGACACAAAGCCTATTCATGTCTGCCGCAGCCGTGCCCAGTCGGCGTGGCTGCGACTGACCTCCTACCCGTCGCCAGGGTGGAAACATGGCATAAGAAAATTGAAGTGCGTGTTCCCAAAGAAACAAAGGAAAATGGAAAAATAAAAGAGAAGAAAATTTTAATCGAAAATACAGGTATATCATTTTTCTAGAATAATTTTGGAACATGAACCATCATAATCTGTTGATTGTGAAATCAATGAACATTAAGACTTTAATTTCTTGTGTAGATTTCCCTTTCCTACAATTCTTGTATATAACCTTATACAAGCTTTCCATTACTGTTTATTGAAATACTTCAACTGCAGGAGTTTCTTCATAATTTTCATTTGTACTAGATAGCATACGCCAAAAGTACAAGGTGCTAAAGACCGGAATGCTCACACTTTGATCCAATTTAGTTCGGAAGTCAATATCTATAAAACTGAATTCAGAAATTCAATTTTAAAATTTGGTAAGTTTGGAAATGGATATTGAAATTTGATTTCCAATTACCGATCGAATTACCAAATTTGATATTTTAATTAAATAATTTATAAGTTATAATTTATGCGAATGGACAAATGTATATGATGTTAGTTAGTGACATATTAACACATTAATAACTTCTATATTATTAATTACATATTACATATACTTAACTAATATATATTAGAAAACTCCAATTGCCAATATTCAATTACCAAATAAAAATTTGGACGGTAAATGGATGTTGACCTGCTGAATAAAAAATTAAATTTTCTTTTATCGAATAACACCAATCATAGACCTCACTGCTAAACAAGTGGTTTAAATGACTATCTGCCAATAAGAGAATACAATGGCCCTTCACCAATAACAGAGGCTCTTTATTATTTTTATTATTTTTTATACAGCAGGAATTTAACATTCCAATTACACTGGTGTATCCCTACCAATGTACAGGACACAAAAGAACAGTTACCAACTAGAGCTGGCAATTTGTCCCAAGTCCCAATGGGCTACCCATGCCCAAAGGAACTTTGGGCGGGATGGGTATTATAACTTGATATTGGGTTTAAGTTGGGACACATCCCAACTATACCCATTAATGAATGGGAAAGGGTGGGAAATACTTGGGTACCCATTGGGTTCAAATAGCAAGGGCTCCGTTTGGATTAGCTGTTTTTAGGGGGTATTTTTGAAATATTTTATTGTAACAGTGTATATGAAAAATATTTACTATAAATTTTTTTTTGAAATATTTGATATACTAATATGGATGGGATGTTTCTTGAGTTATTGTATATTACTGTAACATTGTATTTGAAAAACTTATTTTTTGGAAAAATAGTCAATCCAAACGGAGTCTTAGATTCAAAAATCATCTTTAACAATTTTTATAGTCATACCAGCGAATATAATCTAGTAGTCTTCCTAGTCATTATCTACAAGAATTTCTAGCATTTCAGTCAGTTTAGATCTGTCATCCTTGGACAATGATCAGGATAAATATTCAACATCCTAAGGACCTTGGTCATCTTGATATATGTTAGAATATAGCTGTATATCTATCTTTTCTTTTATTTGTTAATCTAATTTTTGGTGGGAATCTTGAGTATAAAGCACTTGCATATTTATTTAATGAAACTAAAAAAAATTTAATAAATCAAAAATATTAAAATTATATAAAAAATAAAAAATGAATTAAAGGAAAAAAAATATGTAGGAAATGGATTTGGGTATTGGGCGGGATCAATCTAAACCCATCCCAAAATGATCCCGCCCAAGTTAGTCCCAAAACACATATGGGTAAGGTTTGGCCCAAACCCATATGACTCGGTTCCATCTCAAACCCAAGCAAATCCCGCCCATCCCGCCCATTTTGCCACCTCTATTACCAACTAAAGCGATATAAGTCCGAAACCAGTTGCCAATTCAACTTAGTGCCTCTTGACCTTTTCTAACAAAAGTTAGAAATTCGACTTTTATAAACTTAGATTCTAGAAGAAACCTCAAAAACTCACAACTTTTGAGATCCTCCCAGGAACTTATAAACCCAAACCCAATCCCGCCCGAACCGATGTGGGATGGCAACCCCAATTCAACTTATTGCGAGGGATTCTTTTCCAACAGGCTTTGTGCCAGCGGCAGCCCTGCCCAGTCAACACGGCTACGACTGAGCTCTTTCTGCAGACATCTGTCTTTTTTTGCAGACATTTGCCAGTGTGGTTGGCCGGGTGAGGGATTTTAATTATGCGGTCGTGCTGATTTCTGCAGACATCTGTCTTTTTTTGCAGACATTTGCCAGTGTGGTTGGCCGGGTGAGGGATTTTAATTATGCGGTCGTGCTGAATCAGCACGGCACGTATAAAATGAAAAACATCCCGTGTCAGAGGTCCATTTGGCGGATTGTTTTTTTTTTTTACATATATTTTAAGGAATTAGCCTCCATTTTGACACCAGTGGAGCATTGCAGCACGGAACTGTTTCAGACAACGTAAAAATCTCAGGCAACAAGTTACTTATCCGACTTGGAAAGTGTCCTGCCCAGACTTAAGTTCAAATTTTGAAGTTGGAACTAAAGATAAAAGTCAACAGTACCTCAGTTTTTATTTCTTTCCTTTTATTTTAAATCAAGAAAAGGACCTAAATTTAGCAGAAAATATACTTCCACAACTATGAAAATGAAGTACACGCTCAGAATTAGAAATGAAGAACAATGACGGTGCTAAAAATTGAGAGTCCAGTTTAGTCCATTCGATGGTGACACTGTTGGGGAAATTCCGTCACCACTGTTGGGTATAACATCCTTTGAATGTTTTTCTGGCAGTGATTCCCCATCACTACTCGAAAATTCTCCGTCATTCAACCCCAGAGATGCTCCATCACCATTTGAGAAATCCCTTGAATTTAATCCCAAAGATACTGTGTCATTACTTGGAAAATCTGGTGGTTGCATTGTTGGTGTCAACCCTAGGAGATCCTGTGACGGAAATTCTGCAGATGCCCCATCGCCATTAAGAAAATCCTTCCACTGCTGAGTCACAGTTTTGATCTGTGTGTAGAAGTGAACTCCTGCTTTGCCTGTAAGTTGAAAAGGCTTTCTTTACCGGTGGCCCAGAACCAAGACCCTCCAACCTAGCATGTAAAAGCTATTATATCAAACTGTAAAAGAAGATATGATGGTTTACCATAGAAATTCAGATCTCCGGCAAAAGAACCCTTGGACCCAGTGAACGAAACAAATGGCAATGGAGCAGGAACCGCAACATTTATGCCAACCTGAGTCAATTGATGATAACTTAAAATCAACACAAAGAAATTTCCTACCTGAGTCAAGTGATGGTATATGTAAACTTTAAGGGAAAGGAAATTTCACTGATGGCCAGGGATATGCTTTTAGTGTTAAAATTTCACAACTACTTCAATAATTTGACTTGACTTCAGTTAATTGAGAGTCAAATGTTTTGCAAATTGAAGATAAATTTCCACTTGAGATTGTAATGAAAGAGCAAACTATCTTCACAAATTTGGAGCTTCCTCAGGCCTCAAATTCTACTTATATTTTCAAGCTCCCAGAGTCCCAAGAGTCAACATCTAAAAAGGCAAACACATGTACCTGCCCAGACTCGATTTCAGCCTGGAATTTCCTTGCAGCTGCACCAGATGCAGTAAATATAGAAGCTCCAACGCCATATCTGCTCCAATAAAGAGTCTCAAATAAGACAGGAAGAATGCACTAAGGAACGCAATAGACATATTCGTAGCAAGACCTGAAGAATTGAAACTATTAGTCGAAAAAGAGAAACTATTAAAAAAAAATTACTTATTTCTGTTGATAATGTTAATGGCCTCGTCTAAGCTATTGGCCTGCAGAAAAAAGCCAAGGGAGGGATACAAATGTTAACAGAATTGCATTTTTTTAATGAAACTTTAGCCACAAAAACAAAAATAAAAACTTCAAATAGGAGTATAAGAGCAATGATAGACGAACCTGCATACACAGGAGAACTGGACCAGACACTCCCTCCTGCATAGGCCAAGATAAATTATTAGCTTATTTTTTCTTTCTTTTTCTTTACACTAAAAACAAACAAAGACTGATGGACCAATTAAAGTGGTGGAATCATGCAATATTACACCTTATAGATTTCCATGTCCTCTGTGACATCAAACAAGACTGATGGACCAATAAAATTGCCCAGCTCAAATTGTGGAACCTGTTTGTCATCCATGGAAAAGGTAAACATAAGTAAACCAACATAGATCTGAAAATAGAGGGGAAGAAAAGAACTGCACAATAAAATGTCTTAACACATAAAAAGTTGGCTTGCTAAAACAAATATTTTCCCCCAATTACCTATCAAATTGAGGCAATAACAACAATAATATTGTCTCGAGGAATGCTAGCCCCAATTTGTATGCTTCTACATATCTAACAATCATGCCTGTTCTTATAAGCTCAGATGTTTTAACTTTCTTCATATTCAGAACACACACACACACCCTGCAAAACTTCATGTAATCAGTTTGCTCTTGATAATTTGATAGAAACTATTGAAGAATTACTGAACACTATGCTACTCGGATCTTGCTCTTTCATATTGGTTCTTTGAAATTACAGACAAAGGTACAACTGAGACTCTCTATGACGATCTGCATTCCTACATCTCTGGGCAAAATTTCATGTCATTAGTTTGCCTTTTTGAAGAATAAAAGGAAACAATAGAAGCATTATCGAGCACTATATTACTCAGATGCCCTCTTACTCTTTTCATATTGGTTCCTTGAAATTAAGAAAAAGAAAGCTACTGTGCTTCCAAAAGTTAATACCCGTGTTCCATTCGGCAAGGATTTATTCTCCTAATTGACACTGGATTTCTAAAATGCAGATTCCAGAAACTTGTAGAAGAAAAACATGATACAAAAAGGTAAATTTCTATGCTCGAGAGACACCAGATGAGCCACCTATCCTCAAGGTTCAAAGATCCTTGATAAGCAGATGTTCTGTTCATTTTCTAATTCAGATTTTCAATTGGAGACTGTTTTCAGCCTTCAGCATATGCACAGTACATTGTTGTGCAAACATTCTGGTGCTAATCAAGTACATAAGCAAATGATACACACGTACCACAATTTGTCTCCCATCAAGAACTAATCTGGCTCCATCATCAACACCAGCTTGGATCAATTTGCATATCCGTTCCTTGACCTATAGATATTTGGCAGTTCTTGCAAATAAGCACAACTCAGTCAAAAAGAGTAGTAATAAGATAGCTCAAAGCCCACATAAATGGATTACAGAAAACTTGCTTGTGCCAGGAAAACAGCACATCAATGTGAAGGAAAAGAAAGCCATAAGTCAATTCCAAGTCTTCAATTTAACCCAATTTCTATTTTCTTCAAAATTCATGGAGGAGGAAATTATGCAATGGACAACATATGAGCTCACCGGCTTGCAAATCACTGGGCCAACATCTGCATCAGGTTCAGTTCCTGCATTTACTTTAAGTGCTTTGGCCCTCTCCACCAGTTTGTCTTCCCTGAGAAGTGCCATCACATTGTCCATCATAATTATGCACCAATATCCACCATGAAGATCCTTCCACAGCCATGAAGTTGATATATTCAACTTTAGAAGCATTAGAAGTCCAAAGAAATTTCAATAGCCATGGAAAGAGTTTGTGCTATGGAGTACCTAAATTACATATACTATACATGTAAGCCAAGTTTTATCCACTGAAAATTCAGCCAACTACAGCGGGTCCCCTCAGGTGGAAAACACGAAAAGCAAGAGCAAACAAAATTCTCTAAGTTCAATAGGCTTTAAATTTTAAGCAACGGCAGAACAAAGATCTTTACTTTAGGAGAACAATGATAACATGTACAAGTTCTAAAAAATTTAAGCAGCAATATAAAATAAAAACAAAAGAACAAGAACAGTGGCATCTCCTGGGATATAGCTCTTTCAAGAATAAACGATACATCAACTGTATCTTCTACAAGTACATGGCCTAAAGGTTTTAGTCCATTACTCTTCACCAGACATTTGATTTTAAGTTCAAAAAAGAACACCTTTCGAAGTGCAAATACTAATTGTAGGCTATTCCATTGGTTTTCCACATTTCAGTTCAGGCCAAAGTTGTTACCCAGATCAAATATGTAGATAGTTTTTGGGCAATAGAAGAACTTAAACACAAACCAAGTAATTTGCCTTCATCTTATCAAACCAGCCAAATGTAATAGAACTAAGTATTTTATACATCTTGAGCACTGTATGCTGCACGGTTGGACCTACATAAAGGAGGATTCATGACTTGTGATGCACTTAGATATTATCTTTTTTAAGTCTTTACCTTCATTGTCTGCATAAGCTAGATGCATTGCCCAACTAAAAGCTAGTGATAGTGACCTGATAGCCATACCTCACAGCGTACAGTCATCCATTCATGGTCAAAGAAAGGGGGGGGGTGGGGCTGATTCAAGGTCACTTCAAGGGGACTTACATGAACAATTTCCCAAAAATATGGTTCTACTCAACTTTCAGACTTGTCATGACAAGTGTCAGTCTTAAGTACAAGAATTAAGGTTGTTATTGTATCTTATTTGACCCTCCAAATGAATTGACAGCTCTGCAATTCTAACTTAGGTTCAGCTTATGATCCTCGAATAGAAAAGATATGAGACAGGAAAGCATTCTGCCATTCTTTTACAGATTGAGTCGGACCAAAACCCTCTATACCTGCATAATTCGGTAAAACGGGAGGCTGGATAAGAGCAAGAATATTTTTCTTTGGTACACGTAGGCAACTGGAGGGAGGAGGCATTTGAAACCCCTATACACAAGCCTGTCAGCCTTCTAACATTCTACCAGCAGTTACTGGGCTAGCCCTAGTGGTTATGAGAGTGGATTTATGATGAACTCCAAATAAGATGCAAAGCCAATTATTTAGATCAGACGGCAATGAGGATGAATCATGTAAACATAAAAATGAACATAGAAGGGAAGAAAGCAAGAGCCAATAATACCATAACTTTGACCTTCCAACAAAAATCACCGTGCTAACTGCCGTACACCTTTGTCCAGCAGCTCCAAAACCAGCAGCAACTAAAGCATTCAGAGTAGCATCCACATTTGCATCAGGCATGACAACTGCAAAATTCTTGGCTCCAATGTTGGCCTATAAAGAATTATCGACTAACCAAAGGATTACAACTTCAACACTTTTCCGCGACTGGAGTAAAACAGTCACTGGCATAAAAAAAGACCCACTTACTTGAATGCGTTTACCACTAGCTGATGCTCTTTCATGAACGTACCTCCCAGCCTTGAAATACAGATACAACAGATAGATCAGGGTAATAATTTAAAACCTCACAGCCACATTCATAGAAAATGGCCATAACTAGGCAAATAATTCACTAAGCAGCTGAAGGTGAGGAAAACATTGGTAAAAGCAAACCAATGTCATGTAACAGGAATGCAGCCATAGTTGTAGCAGATTAGAATATGTAAAACGGGAAGAATTTTTGAATAAAATCTGAAGCTAAAGAACTTAGTGCAACATTTTTACATCGAATATGGAGGTAGCCATCTAAGAAGTACTGGGAGGAAACTCACGGCATCTGAACCAACAAAAGATACAGCTTTTATATTCTCGTCATCACAGATGGCATTGACAATATCCTGCACAGAAAGAGAAGTATGATGTATTGCAGAAACATAATGGTCATGAATCATGACTACAGAAACTATCAACCTGGACATAAGCAAATGGGGCAATGTAAATAAAGTTATGGGGATTGCAGAAAAGGAAAATGGCATAACCACAATAATTCACTTGTAGTAGCTGTAAACAAAAGCATCTTAGATAAAACAAGTGGAATTAGAATACAAAACAGAATATCTCCACTGCTGTGTAAAATAGAAGCAAATAATCTTTTTTCACTCTTTTTAGATTTTGATGAAACCAAGAAACAACCAACACAGCCTGCTAACAAAATAGTCAATCTTACATTTGTGCCATGAACCATATTGAGGACACCATTAGGCAAACCAGCTTCCATTGCTAGTTCGGAAAGTAGCATACAAGCCCCTGCAGTATTGAAAAATGAGAAAATGTAAATTTTATGACCAAGCACAGCTAGAAAAAATCAATAATGCATTCAAACAGGAAAGGGAAATCAGAAAACAGATGTGAAAACAATGCAAATGCAATCAATGAGTATTGGGACAAACACTTCAGAATCAGCTTGAAACTGGAAAGTGGTAGCTAATATCATATAGGGAGGTCTTTAACAAATGGATCCAGCATTTCCACTTAAAGCTTTAAGTTGTTAGTTATAAAAGGTTTCCTCTATATTGCTGCAGCTATGATGTTTATGCAATAAAACATAATTACCTGGAGCTTTCTCTGATGGTTTCAATATGAAGGTGTTGCCACATGTAACTGCAATTGGAATCATCTGCAGCAAGTTTGAAAACCACAAGAACAGAATCACTGTAAAAGACAGATAATACAAAATCATGGATTAACAATGGAATTGCAATACACTGAAAACAATAGTTGAAGCAGTCAACCAACATACAAACATAGGAAACACTGTCCATCTCAAATAGGCTTTCTCACATTTTTGCAGGATATAGTCAACAGTAAACAACAGAAACAGTCATAAATCCATAGTTCACAAACAATTGAACAGTGTAAGCAAGAAGATGTAGGTTACACAGGCAAAATTCAAGAGACATGAAAAGCTTACCCATAATGGAATCATTGCGGGAAAGTTGTGAGGCGAAATCCCAGCACAAACACCCAGAGGCTCTCTAATACTGTAAGAATCAATCCCGTTAGATATATTAGATGCAAAGTCGCCCATCTGCAGAGTTGCCATTCCACAAGCATGTTCCACCACCTCTACAGAAGAAAATTCAAACTTTATGGTGCAAACAGCTCACTGTTCAAATAAGAATATTGTTTATCTGAACACCAATCTGAAGAAAAACCTTTCAGCTAAAGAAATCCAGCAAATAAAAGTAAATAAAAACTTTCTACCCGTTCCACTTTAACACCTGGTATATATCACAAAAGGTGAATGGAATCAATTATTTTCTATTTTCTTTTGAGAAAAGTTAATGAAGCCAAAAGATAAAACAATATCTTAAATATTAGATATACTGCAAAGAAATCCAACCATCTTTGGAGTGATCTCAATGGTAGAAATTCAAGGTCTACTAAACCCAACTTTCCTCAAAATTTATTACCCTAAACAACGGAACTGCAAATTCCACTCAAGTCCAACAGTCTCCTGAGTCAAGATCTAAATGAAGAACCAAGGACAGAAAATGCACTTACCAAGCCCACGATCCACATCATTATATGCATCCTTCAACGCCTTTCCCTGCTCGGTCGTAATATTAAGGGCAATCTTCTCCTAAAGGACATACGTTCCTCAGTTAGCGAAAAATTATGATGTAACTGATAGTATCCAAAAGAATCAAGCAAACATACGACATCTCTTCGGATGAGTTCTTGAAGCTTGAACATAATGCGTTGACGTGTTGTGACAGGTGTGTTCCGCCACGAGGGAAAAGCTCTTTTTGCTGCGAAAACAGCAGCCTTAAATTCCTCAGCAGTTGTCAAAGGGACTTGTGATACCACTTGCTGTGTTGCCTGTCAACACTTCATAGATAAATAACACTATAAAAAATAAGAAAGGCAACAAACTAACTTGGTAAATATGATAGGTAAAATTCAATTTGAGGCTATAAATTTATTGGGCCAAATGGACAACATCAGCAATCTGCATTAACTGTGTATCTTAGTAAGACAATTTCTAATCCTTTTTCCCCAAGACAAGTACTTTTCTTGATGAATTCATTGATTAATCTGAGAGAGAGAGAGAGAGATTAGAGCTATCTGAACTTACAGGGTTTATAACGTCAATGGATATTGATGATTGAGAGTCAACAAACCTACCACCAATCAGATTAGGTACCCTCTGCAGAACATACCAAGAAACAAGCAATCCATCACAACATATATTTTAACCCCACATCATCCTCTACTTTTTCAAAGTAAAGTATATTACATCGCACAACTTATAAACATCCACTTGCACTTCGACAATTGACAGGCAAAGAAAGAACACTTGCAATTCGATAATTGAGACACAAAGAATGAACGAACCAAGAAAAGAAGTATATTATTTTTTTGGACTTGGAATCAGGAAATATAACATTTTCAGAGAGTGAAAGTAAGGAGGCTGCAGAACTGATGGAGCAAGAGATCATCTTCCTTCTGTAGGAAAGGTTCATCTTAAAAGATCCATACGACAATATACCATGACTACAGTTAAACGGAACAATCAATTTGATAGTTAGTCATATTTTGTATCTACAAATTGCTTCATTATGGCATCTGAGAGCGTCCAATTGACTAGTGAAGCTTAATCACGAGTCCAAGCTGACTCACTCAGAAAACAAAGTAGGGGAGAAATAAGTGCTTGCATAGCCCAAAACCCAAAGTCAGTACACCATATCACTCCACATGAAACAAATACTCGTGCAGGTGTTGATTTTTGTGTAATAATTTTTTAGGCTTTTGAAGTCCTTCATCATACAAAAAAGAGATGGCAAAAAGAAACAAAATGTTAGAGCAATCACAAAGCATCAATGGAAAAATTAGTCAGAGTAAATGAACTACCATATACAACTATATAGCTGCTTATTATTTAACAATCAAATTTGGAGGTTGAGTTGGACAGTGTATTCAGAATGTGTTGTAAACTTCATGACGTTTATTCCTACATATACAGTTAGAAAATTATGGTGGGTTGTGGAATGAATTGCCCTACGATCGTACTTTGAACATAAGCGGTTATCAATTTCAAATCTTTCACAATGAAATATACACTTACAAAAGTCATGATGTTCAAAAACTATAGCATTAACAAATATGCATGAAACAATATAGTTCCAAGACATACAAGTTAAAAACACTCACAAACGGGATATGGGAACATCGGAACAGAAAATCTGGACTTCTAATGTCATTCCTGCATAATTTTTGGAGTCTAAATTTGCAATTGATTGCCTAAGTACATTATTCTTGTGTGACCAGCAAATATGTTCATGTTAATATTGCAAAAAACGCTGTGAGACTATGATTCTTGACAAAATGTTAAATTGGACTAGACAAGATCCTGTATTTAGCATAAGCTACAGAAGCAACTTTTTATACCATTCTAGACAAGCATGCAATCCAATGGAACAAATGAATCAGAACTAAACAAACTATCAACTCATTTAGGCCCCAGTTAACTCATTGTAACCAACCTTGACAACAGAACAGTCATAAGCTAAAACTATAACAATTGACACATTTCTCATGCATCCAAAAAGGAAAATCTCAAGGTTGTTGTACAACATTGTTGATTGACTAGTGCAAAGCTTACCGGAGGATATCGTTTCCTCCATGATGGCTCATTAGTTGTTGAAGGCTGAGAGTTACCCTCAACAGATGCTTGAGGTCTTAATGTTTTTAATCTCCTCACTGCAGTATGAAGATAAATAAACCCAAGTTAACTAGGCAGATCTAACTCAACTAGATTACTCCACATGTCAGCCACATCTTGCAATAAAACAAGGGCAACTAACCAAGAAAGGTTTGATATTCTCAACAAAATTCTACAATTGCAGAGCTCAGGATCTCGCAAAGGAGCTTTGCAGATCAAGACAAACAAATGTGCTCAAGTAGAACTTAACATTCAAATGGGCAGGTATAGTGTACGTAATTATCATTATGAATTTTAAAGGATCAAGCAATCTGAAGAGCTGTAGTTCATTCTGTTCACTTGAGCTCATGAGGCTCCAAACTGAAAGGTATGCAGCATGATTAAAGCACAAAGTAGATAACTTTAACTATGCAGAAGTAATTCGGCAATACACAGCATCATTGATTTGAGAAGATAACTCCCTGGACATACATCTTCAGTCTACACCCTATAACTCTAGGTTGTTGACTCGATGATTACTACACACATATACATATGATACTCTTTGCTTTTCCCACCCAAATAAACTTTCGAGTAAACAAGACATGTAGCAGTTTAACCAGAGAGATATCAAACTAATTTCTACTGTAAGCAACAAGTATACAGGTAAGAAAATTACCATGTAACAAAAATGCGAGGGGCGGAGAGAGAGAGAGGAGCACTCGGTGTAATGATCAGTACAACATCCAGAATGAAAAAGAAAATAAAAGAGTCCTAAACGTGAGAAATCGCAAAAGGGTATGACAGGAGGCTCAACCTGTAAGATTTCCTTGTCGCAGCTTGGCTTTGACATTGTAAACATGCTTTGGTGTTGACAAAAGCTCTGGATTGCTTTGTCTTAGTCTCTTTAAAATTTGGCGTGGTTTCAGACCAGCTTCTGTCATCTCCTTAATTAGCATGACTTCTTTTTCTGTGAAGCGACGAGCAGAGGGATGCTCAGATATGTCCTTGAGGGCTTCATGGTTGTGAGAACCATTCTTAACAGTGAGTACCCATAAGCCATCTTCTTTCTTACCCACAAGTTCAAAAGGACAGTTTGTGAGCCGTGAACCAGTTTTTCTTTTGCGAGCAAGTTCACCAGAGGACTCATCAACAGGTTTACGTCTGTTTCTATAAACACCTCCTCTGTCACATCCAAGCACTACCACTTTGTCCTTCTTAGACTGTTTAATAGTAACAACATATCCCTGGGACAAAGCAAACTCCCCAACATGTTGAATAAGTTCTTCACGATCAATGAAGCTCCCGGGTGGAGGTGGAAGCATCTGGAGGGTATCATTTAACTCCATGTAACTAGTCATGACCTATCATTGAAAACAAAAACAAGTTGTAAGTAAAACTGAGACAAGTCATCCAGCAAACTTCAGCATCTGAATATTATAATGCTCTGCCTAATCCCTGTAAAGTATAACAAGGTAACAAATACTCAGAATTTGGAAATGAAGACAATACACACCATTCTCCAATGTAATATTCTGACTAGCTGAAACCAGAATTATTGCTTGCCCCTTCCCCAATTTTTATATAAACAGTAAAAGGTACAGAGCAACTAATTAGTCAGAAGACATCCAGCTGGTGAACCAAGAGCAGGGAAAGATGGGTTAATGCAGTGGAAGTGCTGGAGAGAGCCCAAGTTTCCCCTTGTTCGATGTGAATGGCATCTTCAAATAAGAGTCAAACTTTGGTTCTTTATTCCTCTCACTGTTCTTTTATCTCATACCCATGGTTAGATAATAAAAATTTTAAAAAAAAATTAGATCAGCAGACTCCAAGAAGCTCAAGGATTCATTCGTCAAGTTACCTGATACAGCCTCAAACTTCTATCAGCTTAAAGCCAGTTATAACTTATGAATCTTCTCCATTATTTCTTCAAACCAATTTGAGCTTTACAGGCTGCCATCACTATCAAAGAAACAAAGTCTGGAATCAATCAAGCATAGCACTAACTTCAAAGGTCACTCCTTGATTGGAGAAAAAGAAAGGAAAATGAAAGGGAAAAAAAAGATAATAATTTGTCCGAGTAAATTATCTTTCCAATTAAAACCCCCATTTTCTGTTAATCTGACAACAGGGATGAATATAAAGGAGGGGAAAAAAAAAACAAAAGCAATCCATATGAGCTGTTTGCAGTTACTACGACCCTGGCAGAGATTTAAGCATACACTTTAACCTTATGCGTCAATTTACTTGGAAGAGAAGTATATGCATTTTCCCCTTTTGTCTCATTCCTGAACCACGTCTACCATGCACAATTGATTACTTTTCCTGTAATGAACATATTTTTCTGCCTATTTAAAATGGAAAGAATAAGAAAAACAGACAGGCATGGAACAAACGCACACTTCATGCAATCCGTCCTACCTAAGCCAGAGACCACACTCCTATCTGCCGCCAAATGTCAACATTTTCATTAAGAGAGAAATATTTTTTTTAATATATATGGGATAACAATTCCAATTCTCTAAACGAACCAAAAAACAGCCTAAGTTCCTGTTACAGTGTCAATGAAACTACTGGGAGCTCCATAACTAAAATGAAACCTAAGAGAAGCTGATAATGCTAAAAGTATAACAGTAAGCAGATAAATAAATAATAAGCCCAAAAGCAAAACGAACTTCGCCCAGAAAGTATCTGCAAAAACAACATCAGAACCCTAAAAAATGTAAAAACATAAAATTTCTTTTCACAAAAAACTTCGATTTTCTCAAACCTGAAAAAGCCAGTACTATCTATATTCGAAATTGCACAACCGCAACTTTAAACTCAAAAGTGCAGAAATTTTGGCGGAAAATTCAAGGCTTTACAGGGAAAAAAAAATTCACCACATTTCAATTAAATTTTCCAAATAAAATTTCCTTTGATCATTAAACAACTTCGAAAAATCAGTTTAAAAGATAGGGTACTGCACTTTACCGGCGACGGCAACACGGCCGTGATGAGACGGTGACGACTGACGGCTTTAAGTCTGTTTAATTGTATTTGCTACTGCCTAGTGGTGGCTGTAATGGGAATGAATGAATGTATATGCATTTCTGTTCCTCTGCTTCAATTGTTCGAGTATTGGAATAAATCAGAGTGCCGCTTTTATTTGTATCTTCTTTTTTCCCGTTTTCGATTTTGTGTCGCGGAGCGCGATGTCTAAATTGTGCCTGTATGAAAGCCAAAAAAATGTGTAATGAGGTGATATCGCGCGTTGTACAAAAACGACAGAATTGAGATTTGAGACCAGCGCCGTTAAAACTTAAAAGCACACTAATAGCAAGTTTGGGATGGAAAAGAAAAGAAAAGAAATATCTCTTCACGTTGTCGTTTGGGGGTTTTTGGAGAGAAAATTTTCTTTTATTTGGGAGTAAAGAGAAGTCAGAGGAAAAGAATAATAATTTTGCCCCATTTAAAATGTGAGTTTTTTGAATGTTTATCTAAAATTTTACTGTAATTTACTGTAAAAGTTTTTTAAAAAAATTTTGAAGTGTGTTTTTTTAATATTTTAAAGTGTATAGTTTAAAAATTTTGAAAATTTTTTTGAAGTTATTAATCTGTAACTAAAGTTCTTAAAAAACTTATAACAGACAAATTTGATCAAAAACTTGACTTCCAAACAAGGGTCGATTCTATTTTACATAAGTACCCTTAAAGTTTGAAATTCACATAATGTAAGAAAATATTAATATTATATTACAATCTTTATAAGGATAAAATTGATATATTAAAATATTTACTTACTTTCCTCTCTCACGCTTTCCGGGCTAACTGATTTTCGAATGTTGAAAGGGTGTCAATCCCTTCATTTCTTTCCTATTAGAACTTCCAAATGTGGCTAATTTCTTAGATTATACGTAAAAACAAAAACAAAAATCCGCACGGCCGCATTATAAATTAAAATTTTTTTTTGAAAAAGTCAGCAAGGTCAAAAAGTAACAAAGTCCTGTCCGCAGCCGTGCTCAAGGTTTGAAAGTAACAAAGTCCTGTCCGCAGCCGTGAATTTTACGTACAAATATTGATATATTTATCATAAATTAAATGTTTGAAAGTAAAATATCCGTAAAAAATTGATACTTTAAATGAATAATGCGTATTTGCCTATAAAGAGCCGGTAAATATTTAAAGTACCGGTTCTTTAAGTATATTTTACTTTCAAACATTTAATTTAATACAAATATTTACACTCAAATACAGATTTGTATTTACTTTTAAATATTTAATTTTTGTTAAATACAAAACCTACCAATCTCTCTTTCGTAAAAATATTAATATAACACTTTTTCAATTTTAGTTATAAACATTTATGTATTTAACATAAATTAAATGATTTAGAATAAAATGCACATAAAGAGCTAATACTTTACTTGTGTAATGGATGAAAATCATAAAAAATTAATACTTTATGAGCCATTTTTTTAAAAATATTTAATTTATATTAAATAAATAACCTATCAATTTTCTTTTTGCAAGAATATTGCTATAATAATTTTTAAATTTTACTTACAAATATTGATATATTTATCATAAATTAAATATTTGAAAGTAAAATACCCGTAAAGAGCCGGCACTTTAAATGAGTAATGCATGTTTGCCCATAAATTATACTCTTTAAAGTTTATTAATTGTTAATTAATTTATAGTACTTTGTCGTTCATTGGATATGTAGCACAAATGGCAAATCTGGTACAAAATTCTAATTTTGCTCCCTAAAATAATATTTTAATCGTTTGGACTAAATTTGCAAAGGATTAGTAACCTCAGGGGAGGTTTCTGCAATTATCCCTAAAATTTAACCAACTGAAGTATTTGCTGGTTGCGCGCAAATCCCAAACTCAATCACTCTCTCTCTCTCTTCTTCCTCTTTTTTTTTTTTTTCATTCCTCCCTCACCTTAATTAAGAATTTAATCTCTTTTATGTCTACCAATATAAAAGTGCTTATTTCATATTTGTAGTCGTTTTAGAATTCTCACCAATCACATTAACCTTGATATGTTTCCCACGATTCAACAAAAGAGACAAAAGTTTTAGACCTTGTTTGGATTGTCATTTTTCCTCCAAAATTTTATACATTTTTCGCGAACATAATTTCCAATTAATACATTTTTACCTCACATATATCAAATTACTACAGCACGTTTTTGTACAAAAATTTCTGAAAATAGCAACCCAAATGCAGACTTCTAGCACAACATAAAAGTATAATTGATACATAATAGGTGGATGACATTTTTTTTTTTTTAAAAAAATGACATGACCTTTCTAAGTCTGATTTCATTTCAGTAGGAGAGCCCTCAGCCTTATGACATGACATTTAAGTCTGATTTCATTTCATAAAGGAATTGGAACTATGAGTATGATGATTTACAGTCAATTTTTTCCAAGAAATTACCAACATGTATTGTCACCACCATTGCGGAGCCACAAAAATTTTCTAAAACGGAAAATCGTGATAAGTTGGGGGTGTTCTTGCGGACTTCAGAATTTGAACATCGCTTTAGAAACTTATTATTATTAGTTTAAAGTTTAAAGTGGTGATTGTTTGTTAGCTATAGCAAGCAGATAGAGCATAGCGATAATGCCCGTCGTTTTCTTCTTCCATTTTCAGTGGTCTCAGGACAAGGTGCCAAAATACTTGAATCGGAAAAAGAAGAGAGAATATTCCGAAACATAGCCCCCTCGGCCTCGTGGCCTCACTCTTAGAGCCTCTCGTCTCGGTCTAGCCTTCACATCATGTCTGACGTTACATTACAGCACGTCGGACCAACAGTAGTGTGACAGACAGGTGTTTGTGTTTTAGTCCAAATTTGAGAAATTTACGAGAATATATAATCAATAGGTGGGTTCTTTGTGGGTTTACTTAGATTGCTTTATCCGTTAATTTCTGTGTTTGTTGTGATTGAGTGTGTGTGTGTGTGTTATTTTCAGCTTCTGAAAAATACTAGAATATATAAGTGTAGCTTTAAAACAGAGCACAACAAAGAATGTTTTGAAAAAAAAAAGAAAAAGAAAAAGAAATGAATCAGAGAGAGAGAGTACCAAGGGGCGTGTACAGTTGCAGGTGACACGTTGCTTGCAATAATTTCAGGCAGGCAGACAGGAAAAATCATGATAAAAAAAGGCGTTTGAGATGACAGAACCCACCCCACAGAAAGGAATGTGCCAGTGCATCAGTTCAAAAGAGAAACTATATAATCAATCTGTAACAAATGAATTGCAAAAGCAATTCATTCTTTTTCACTCAAGATCATCTAGAACCATGATAGTGTACTAGTACTAGTATTGCTATTCAGCTCAACTTTCCAGAATTCAGTAGCGTCCGTCCTGAGTTTTCAGTTCAAAACACCACAATATCATGTCCTATTTCAGCTTAACATCCTTGAATGATTGTTAGCAGTGGCCATTCCTTTGGCATTAATTTGCAGCATGGTTGGTATTAACTGAGTCTGCTAGTGAGAGTATCAGCCAAGAAATGTTACAGAAAGGGAACTTGCTTTTCCTTTGTTTTCTTCTCCTTTAATTTATGCTCTCTACCAAACCCCCCCACAAAAAACAAAAGGGAAAAAAAAGAGGCATGGCAGGTAGAAATGCTGATAGGCGCATGAACATGAACACGCATGAACATGAACATTTTTAAGTTGGGGAATCTATTAGCTAGCCTCAGGGAGGAGATACATTATTATACATATAGAGAAATCCCGTGATCCTTTGAAGCGGCAGTTGCGTCTTCAGCTTCAACTGTTCCATTCAGTAGCCAGAGAAGAATAACATCTGGATTCCATCCAGTTGGGAAAAATACGACATGAGTTTCTATCATAATGTAGTTTTTTTTTTACCAATGATTATGAGGAGAGGTCTGCCCAATGCTAGAATGAAACACAATCTTCCTTTTGTTTAGCAGAGTTTATTGTTCTGCATAAACCTGAGCTCTACAACAATAAAGCATGATATGGGAGGCAATTTTCCGTCTGTGCAAGAAAAGCCCATAAACATGCCTTCCAATAAATGCCCTCATCTGCCTCAATATCATCATAAAAGAAAGATTACAAAATCACAAAATAAAATCAATCTTCCAATTATCTGACTACAACTGCAGCTGGAAAGCCAAATGCAGGGACACGCAAAAGGAACTACACCCCGGTTGTTTTTGGCGGGGTTGGGGCCTTTTTGGGGGGGGGGGGGGCCTTGCGGGGTGTTGGAAAAGGAAATGTTATAAAACAAGATCTGAAACTTCAAAATCAGAAAATGGAGAGGAAAGGAGAGAAGTATTTTTTGTGCCTCGTGCAGCTAGAGTGCAACTGCAACCTTTAATAAGTCATAAAATGTGAAACCAAGGGTGCCTGAACACATGTTAGGACCACCGACCACAACAATTTCTCCCCATTCATGACAGGATGGATGGCAAGCATTTAACGGGCTCGTTGGTCCAATAATTGTCCATCAATCAATATGCTGACATTAAAGCATTTTCATTTTGTTTCCATCTGCTGACACACACAGTTGCTTCCAAATCCCAAAGAGAAAAAAGGGGAAAATAGAACAGAGATGACGAAGAGCAAGCCGAATCTAAAACATGCAAATGTATTTAAGTGTCAAATGTCTTTACCAAATTGCATATACAATAGCATCATGGATTACATTATAAGAGGTTCCACAATTTTAAACTGCCAGCATGTCCACTTTGTTCTTGAAGTTGCTGTTAGAACCCACCCAGAACAGGCAAGGCTTCAATGTCTGTTGAAAAGCTTACTCTCGCGATGAATCCATGTCAATAGAACTAAACAAATCAAGAGCATCTTCATAAATGTCGCTGGAAGAGCTTACAGATTCCTCAACCTCTTCGAATTCGTCCATTTCATTACTCTTCATGAAAAGCCTTAATTTTTGTTCACATAATCTCAACTGGTCTTCCAACACAGCCCTTTCTGATTCATGCCTCTCTACAAGCCACTGCAATGAGCTAATAACGTTGTCATCATAAAGCAGCTTCTCCTCAGCCAATCTTCTGTACTGCCTAGATTCCATTTCAATTAAACTCTTCTCATTTTGCAGGCGCAAAATCATTGCCATTGATTCCTCAACAGCTGTGGCAGATGACATTCTCTCCTTCTCAAGTTCCAACAGAGCCGAATTTGCTCTGCGCCTTTCAGCCTTGATCAATCTTCTCAGTGCCAATACATCAACTTCCTTATCTTCATCACAATGCTCGTTTTCATCATCATCGCCATCATCATTACCTTTATTACACTCTTCACTACAAACATTGGTGGCCTCATACTGACCATCAGCGTCACAATTCAAAAGCTTGGTTTTTTCCAATTTGTCTATTACAGGGGAACCTGAATCATGCACATGCTTCAGTGGCTTAAATTTGCAAGATGAAATTTTTGAACTGCATTTCACATCGAAACCATGAGTTTCACAAATCCCCTTCCTCAAAGAACCTGACTTTCCACCAGAATCGCATAAAAATCTGAACTTTATTAATTTCAGCCCAAAACCCAATAATAGAAACAGTCCTAATACTTTTAAAATCTGCTTATAACTCCAAAAGATCAAAAACCCACATCCAAACTCTGAATTACAACTCAATTGCTTCAAGTACGAGCTAAGACAAGTAAGAGAATCCATCAAAACAAACCCCAGAAAATACTGCAAAACCCTCTTACGTAATTCAAGAACAGAGCAGAAAGCTAGTAAGAAGCAGAGGTGACTAAGAATCTGCATATAGGTGTTGTGGGATTCTTAAATTAATTCAAATGGAATTTGTAACATGTGCTTAACAAAGCTTCAATTGCTTTAGAAAACAGATTGAGCTACGCAAAAACTGAGAGCGGGCTGCGTGGTAGGAGAAATGGGGAGTGTGCGTCTGTCTGGGGGATGGGAACATGAGAAGAGGGCACAACGATCTAGGAGAAAGGGTAGTTATCAGAGGAGTGCACGAACTCAAACGTTATTTTGTTTCTTGGTTGCTCTGCTGAAAGTGCCGTTCGATATGGATCAGGGGCATATGTGGCATTGGCGGCCGAAGCATCATGGGCAAATTAGGAATATTGAGAGTACCAATTTCATGTTGCCAAGGCTAATTATCTAGGATTTAACACTAAATAATGGCACATTGTACTTAGATACCTTGAAGATTGATACAGTAATGATGTTAGGGAATACAAAAAGTTACTATTTTAGTAGTAACCGAAGAAGGATGGACTGTGGAGTGCATTTGCACAATGTAAGTTAACCTTTAAAAAAAAAATTAAAAACAGAAAAAAAAAATAAAAAACAGAGTATGTAATATGTGGTGAAATAAAATAGATTTCAGCACAATAGTGAGATATGGTGAATTAATTGAGGAAGGTTTTTAATTTACCAAAGCAGGCTTGATTAGAGGCTGTCGTTTAGTCAAAATTGCTGGGCCGGCCTCGATTGGTTCAAAGACGTTTTATTTGCTGAAGACCCAATGATGTTGACTCCTTAAGCTAAACAAAAGTCTGTAACGGTGTAAATGACTAAAATTTACACAGATTGGTCGCATATGAAGCAAGCTTTGGCAGTTGAAGCCAGCTTCAACAAAAGCCTAAATGCAATTCCCGGTTTGATTTGACCTTACAAATTGTCTTGTAGCCTTGCAGGGGACTGACTATCTATTTGTAAGGAGCAAAAGAATATGTAGAAGACAAGACAAGATAGTATATGTGGAGAAGGAAGAAGAATTTTCTCATAATTATATCAGAGGAAAAAAAAAAAGGAGAAACTGATAGAAATAAAGAGGCTGAAACAACAAATTAAGAGAAAATATACTTTGGACGAATGCATGCATGTAATTAAAGTCCTGTCCGAATGTTATGGAGCAAAATTTCAAAACATGAGAGCATGAAGCTCTTTTTCTTCATCTTCTTCTTCGCCTTTTTTTTTTCCTTTTGATGGGGCCGATTTTAGGCGGAGAAGATATATATATATATACACACACACATTTTAAAATCTTATTTGCTTCCGTTTGGTTTTGAAGTAATGCTATTGTTTACCGCCCAGATCAGATCAGATGGGATGGGAAAAAAATAGACGTATATATGAGCTTGACGTGAAAGTTGGTGACAATTGGAGTAAAAGTTTTGTTTACTGCATTGGCACTATTATTGTTTTTCTTCAAAGAAAGTTGTGACTGCGTAGCCGATTGGAATGCTTGAAGCAAGAAATTCAGTGCCCTATAGAACACGAGAAAGAGATTCTTTTTAGGTTAGATCCCTGCCCTTACCTTTCACCCAAAGGCTAAAAACTAATTCATTCTTTAAAACAAGCTAAGCTGCTGCTGTGAATTGTGAAATCGCGTAAAATGCATCGATGCGTTCCCCCAAATCCTTAGGCAAAAACTCAACCACTTCAGACAGTCCACAATTCCTGTACCATTAAATAAAAAGTGGAAAAGAACTAAACACAAAAGTTGTTCAAAGTTGTTTTGCCGGCCGCAAGCAGCAGCAGCAGCAGCTGAAGATAGCTGATGAAACACAACAAAATGGTAAACTGAATAACAACAGGAATTGTTTTTGGGCTTTTATGACAAGGATCCAACACTTTTTAGTTAGTGTCGAACTTTTCTACACGGCATATTAATCATTAATGGAGGTGCAACCAGAGTTTCTGACATACCCAATCTATATATGAAGATGTCTATGTCCCTGACCAAAAGAGATGAGTGACATATGGCTACACAGAACACAATTAGTAACATATAACATCTTCCACACTTTCCCCAACCCCCAGGGAGGGCTCAAGGTTCACGAGTTCAATCTGCAGGACGTTTTATTTGCAGCAAAAAGAATTCACAGTCCTATTTTGACATATGGTGAACAAAACCACCACATTTTGAAGACCAATCTAAGCAAGTACCGGTTACAAAATGCCCTTCTGCAGTTCCTTACCTTTACACTCACAAACCTGCAAGGACTCAAGAGCTTCCTTCATTGTTGGAGGACAAAACTCGATGCAATGCATTCCTAACCTCAAAATTCTGTAAGCATCGATCATAAACACGTAATCTGGATCTTCCTTGAAGATTTTGTGCACATGTTTAAGAGATCTTTCTATTTGATGCCATGACATTTCCCATTTGCAGCCATCCTTGGCCCACAATACTACAGATCTATCCTCGTCAGAAATATCGGAAACTTTTTTGGCAATTAAACTCAGGAGTAGAGTGCCAAATGAGAAAACATCAGGTATTACGGAAAAACCACCTCTTCACAAAATCTAAAAATTTCGTGAGGAAATTAGAACTGTCTTATCATCAGAAATGAAAAGGTGGAATCAAGAAGATAAGAACTAAATAAAAAAAAAAAAAAACGATAGAACTTTTCCATGATGAAACAAAGTGCTTGAACAGAAAATTGTCGTAACTTACATATAGAAACTTAGATCATGCATACAACAAAAGTAAATGCTAATATAGATACCCCAGCTTTCTGTTTAGACAACTGTGCTCTAATTAAGGGAAAAGGCCTGGATTTCTTCAGTTTTCTTGATGGGAATTCTACATCAAAAATATTTACATTCATGCATTCCGTATCATTTGGTTATACGGACGGCCTTAATCTATACTCCGTTATAGTGGAAAGAAAAAGAGCATTGAAATTAAATGTCTTATGATTCAAATTGACTAAGCTAGGTGGCCGTCATTGCCTCTGTTTAGTCAAGTTAATTTTGATCTACCAGAATTTAGTTGGTATTTGAGCGTGTTATTCTGATTGGGAGCCCAAAGCCAGTGAACTACTTTGGCTGTTTAGATTTGAACTCTCATTTCCTTGGTATGTATTAGCTACTGCGTTAAGGATTCTTTACCTAAATTACAAAATTGGCGACATCACAGAACTCGTATAGTTTGCCTTATCTAGGTGTCAACTATGAGGAAGCTCCAACTTCGGTTAACTGTTTGCTTCTGATTTGTGCTTATCTTGTACGCAGATGTAATGCAGACGATGAAAGAGCCATACAAGATCAGGAGATTTGATAAATCAGACCTGGAAATACAGCCTGGAGATTGCATCCGCTGGTTGTAGATGAATGTAATGTTGAAGTAGATAATTTGAGCACTTATCCTTTTTTATTAACTTTTCCGTGGCTCTTTTGTTCCCCTGGCTTGTCAAGTCCAGTAGTAATTTTGTTTCCGACATGGATTTACTGTCTCGTTTGAACAAATAGATGTCTCAATTTTCTTTTGGCTGTAACTATTTTAACTGTGGCTTTCGACTACAAGAAATATGGCTTGTTGCGACGCCAAGAATGTGCCACAAAAAGCCCAAAAAGCGCCGCAAAAAAGCATTTGCGGCGCTTTTGTGGCACAAGTCCTTTGTGCCTCAAAAGTAGCCGTTACAAAAGAAAACGACACTTCGTTTAAATGTGTCGCAAGCATTTGCGGCTCAATTAGTGACACATATTAGTGCCACAAAATATGCAAGCTGTGCCGCAAATAATCATGCGGCACAAAAATTGCGTCACAAATATTAAATAGTCTCCTTCAATAAACAGATGCACTGCAGTGATTTACACTTTTTGCATATTTTATGAATTATTTTTCATGCTTGTAGTACATTTCCCTTTCAAGTAAGTAATTCAATTCACTATCTAAATGGAAACAATCACTGCAAATTTCCAAATTCATCATCATAACCTAATTCTAAAAGTCACAAGTAGTTCCTAATTTCAACCAATTTTGCAAAAGTCATCACGTTTCAATATGGCTAGGCCACATTGAAACATTTTTCGTAATAATTGCAACTTCCTTCCAGAAATGGCATGGCAAATGTAAATAATCCACTGAATTCGGCTCCTACAACTTCCTCTACTAGTGCCATATATAACTGGGCTGCGTCATCAAAACTCAATGAACTCGAGACAGCAAAAACCCGAAGAGTAGCGCAAATGGTCCTTACGGAGGAAATGGTGTTCAGATGCCATCTCCTAGTGTTCCTTGAGTACCTTGCTACAACCGCAACTCAATCCTTCTCCTTTCCAGTCTCCAACAGCTTCATCATCTAACGATCCTCCACAGACTTCACTTGGTGGCTTACCGACCAGAATGCACACGAATTCTGCTAGTTCACCGAACATTGCAATGCAGCAGGCAGCACTTTCTAGTGACACAGATGCAAATGATTCCCAGAGTTCTGTTCAAAAAATCATACATGAAACGATGATGTCAAATCAGCTTGGTGGTGGTATCATGCGCATCAATAATGGCGAATGACATGAAATTAATATCAACAAGCAATAATATGGGTCTAACTAGTAATAACTGCATCGTTGGAGATGGGGTAACCAACACACACTGGCATTAGCGGTTCAGGATATGGGAGCATGACCAATGGACTAACGGAATTTGAGCTGCTTTGGGAAGTAACTCTGTGACCATGAATGGCAGAGTAGGCATGACAATGGGTCTATGACAATGAATGGCAGAGTAGCCATTATTTAAATCAAAAAAATCTTTTTTTCTGAAAAATTTCATTCAAAATAAAGTATAAATAGCAAAAAAATGAAGCCAAAATCCATGCGATAATAAATGCATCGTCAAAAGCTAATGATATGAAGTACACTATTGCTGGGAATTAGAAAATTAGTCGAAATCAGAAACTTTGGAATTAAAGTTGAATGCTATTCAAAATTTGATGCTAGATCCCCATTATTTCACCTTAATCACTTTAAATTCCAAAACAACAGAAGGCAAAAACACCATAAAATTCCACATTTAGAACCTATCAACTGCCAACATTGAACAACTTTTAATCATTCTCCATAAATATGATAAAAGGTGCATATAAATAAAAATGAATTGCAGATCATATAAGCTTAATTACCTTGCATCTGGACAACCCAAGCTTATTGAGCACAACCTTCCTACCATTAGTAGTGGTACCCTTATAGATATATTGAGCGCATGAATTGATATAGATCACAGGGTTAAAGGGACATAATTGAAGGAGAAGTTTAGCACTTGTCTTCTACTAAATAGATCCCTAAACTTTCTCGTAAGAAAACAGACCATTTTGCATAAAAACTTCAAAAATTTTGAGTTTATAAGCTTATTTGGGAAGTAGCATGCAAATGAAGACATAAGACAGTGAATTTCCTGTTATAAAACTTCAAAAATTTTGTCAAACCATCTATGAAAAAATAAGCAATAATTTACCAGCCAGTCCAGCCTTCAGTCTGCATCCTGGGTTTATAAGCTTATTTGGGATATAGCCAACTAGAAGCCATTGCATGTATTAATCTGGGCAGAATAACACACACATATAAGAAACTGGAACTCGTAAAAGAATTAACCAAAGTTGCTACAAGTAGTAACACCAAGTTAATAATGAGAGAAGGTGGGCCTAATATTATACCCGTAGAGGCAATCATGCTTAACAATTTTGTGTTACAATATTATCATACCATATCATAGTGTGACGCAAAAATTCTTGCTACCATAAGCAAGTGCATTTTTAAGTAGTTTGTATGCCTTGTAACCATTTTTAAGGATTAAATCAGGAATTACTTGGTCTAAAACAGCAATACTTGATTGCCATTTTCCACTTTCTTGAAATGATTATGCTCCAAAGTTGGGATTTCTCCTAAACTATTTGTGTGTCCCCAGTCTCCAAGAACAGGGAGAGTTGTTTACAGGCATTTATGACAGAATTACAAATAACACCTAATATCAGTAGCATGATAATCGGACAAATATATAAACTAGAGGATGGAGTGCACTAAAGCTTCAAATGTACCTTCTGCCAACGGCTGCTATCTCGTTGTTTCAAGACAACGACTGTATTGAGTTTCTCAGGCGATTCCATTGTCCATCTGCAATATGGGCTGGACTCTTTAAAACGAGAGTAAACTCCTATTATCTCCCCTTAGGTCGCATTAAAAATATTTTAAAGAATTACAAAAAATACATAAAAAATAACCACAAAAGTCTATAAACTCCTGAGCACTAAGGTCATGTAATAAATTCTCTTGATTATACCATAAAATAAATGAATAAAGTGAAAAAATTCGCAAAGGAATTGAGCTTAATTACCTTGCTTTTGAACCAGAATAGCTAGCAAAATTGTTGGGTAAGTTCTCTCAAAGCTAAAATTAGTTCACCGATGATAAAAATTACATGGAGAAGCAAATCCAGCCAGTGAAAACCAATTTATTCACTTTTGGCAAAGTGACCTGAAACTGTTTAACTTCTCAAAATCATGCCAGAAGTCATTAAACCTAAGAACAAACACAAAATTGAGATAATACTATCGTTAGCTATAAATCTCACCATATTCCTTTGAGAATGTGATCGAGTCTTTAGAATTGGAAAGAGACAAAGAAGAAGAGCAACAAAGAGAGATACAACAACAAGGAAGAAACACTGCAATTGGGAATCGACTTCAACTGCTGAGAATTTAAATGGAAGAGGTCCATCTTCCTCGCGTTAAAACCCTAGCTTCAGGCGTCAAAACCAATTAGCAATCAATCTATCTACTCTTCCAGATTTCCTCTGTATCTCAAAGATGAAGGTGGTTGCCGCATATTCGTTGGCCGTATTGGGTGGAAAATGGAGGAGGTGGATTTAGATTTGACCATTTGAGAGAGAGAGAGACAGAAAGCGAGACAAGTTCATTGGGAATTTGGAATCAGAATTTAGAGTTTAGAAGAAAGAAGTGGGGGGTTTTGAAATTAGCGGAGAATGAAGGAGACATTGGAAGTGAAAGGCGTTTTTCCCTTTCTTTTCCCTTTTTCTTTACTTTGGATTTATTAAAACTACGTCATTTTGCCACAAAAATTATGCCCCTTATCAACCTTGCCACACAATTTGAAATGTGCTCTTTATTTGCTGCATTTTCTTCTTGTGCCACAGCGAAAACGTCACAAAAAGCCTATTTTCCTGTAGTGTCGGCTGTGTGCTTGACATGCTTTTCCAGGCTGCTTAGATTGAAACTTTCTCTTGCGTGTCATTTCCTAGGGCACAAGCGCATATTGCCATCTTTAGTGCTCTCTGATGAGAGTTTTGATATCAAGTATTCTTTATCTTTCTTCCGAGGCTCTTTTTTGGCTTCAGTTTTAAGGTTGACTCTGTCCTCTGCCATTTTGTTCTGCATCCAGGATGAACATTTGGCTGTGAAAGCAGCTATACATAATTCATATCAGCATTCGCTATAAGTTACCAAGTTTCCTTGCTTAGTCACAGAGAATGCTTGCATGAGGTAATGCGTCCTTTTAGGATCGTATTTTTGTTAAATGTTGAGTTTTTCCACATTCACTAACATGTTTTCACATACGAATTTCCAATTAATATTGAAACTGTAGCTCGAAGATGATTGCTGCTGGCCCTGTACGGTGAATATATTATATTATTGATGGTTGGAGCAAGATATGTTGGAACTGGCATCTTCGATGGGAGAATTGGCTCTTCAGCTTCAAAGTTTAGTACATGAATAGCTTGCCTAATTGAAGGCCTCCAGATACTGTTAGGAATGAGCACACCAGAGTGCAACAACCATCAATCTCTCCATTTCTTGTTCATCAAAATCTCTGCTTAGTTTCGGATCTATTGCTTCAAATAACATTCCCCTTCCATAGAGGTCCCAGGCCAACCCACTCCACCGTTCTTACTTGATCTTCCTGTATTCTGGCATTGATCGGCCTTCTACGGCATGCTATTTTCAGTGCTATCATTCCAAAGCTAAAAACGTCTGATTCCTTACCAGCCTTCCCTTTGATGACACATTCAGGAGCCATGTGCCCCATTCTTCCTGCCAAAACTGTTGTCTGCGATCCTTTTCCATGATCAACAAGTCTAGCTAACCCGAAATCGCCAAGTTTTGGATTGAAACTGGAATCCAGCATGACGTTACTTGATTTTATGTCCCTATGCACCACGCACTGTCCCCATTCTTTGTGCAAGTATAGCAAAACTGACGCCATACCTTGCGCAATTTCCACTTCAATTGTAAAGTTTCTTTGAAAAGAGGGGAATCCAAGCTGCCATTTGGCATGTACTCGTAAACTAGTAGTAGCTGTTCCTTGTCATGGCACCAACCAGTTAGTTGCACCAAGTTTCTATGCCTTAATTGACTGATGATCTTCACTTCTGAGGCATACTCCTTTAGCCCTTGTTTAGATCCTCTGGAGACTTTTTTGACTGCTTCATACGAATTTTCATCTCCCAAGAAACCTCTGTAAACCGCCCTTCTCCTAGCTTCTCCCCTTCGTCAAAGTTGTTTGTTGCACGTGCCAATTCATTGTATGTGAACTTCTTAGGCCTGCTGCCCTTTTCGAATTCGTTATCCATGAACAGGTCATGGGAATGATCCTGTTTCTTCTTGCTTTTCTTCCACCCAACACAACTAAATAGAGTCAATCCAAGAATTAGAACAGGCGAACGAACACTCAATCCAATGACAAGTGCTGCCTTGCTTTTCTTTTTCCGAGTGAATACTGTATTTGGAATTTGACTGGCGATTGGAGTTGGCTCTTAACGATACATGCCAACTCGCAAACTGGAAATGAATTCCCAAAACTTGACATTGTTCTTCTCAAACAAAGCTCCTGTGGCTGCTGAGAATTGAAGCCAAAAGTAGCCAATTCTGGCAAGTAAACCCTCAAATCAACCACATAGTTTGGGCTGTCTTGTGTGATTTTATTATCATATAAACCAGTGAAAGTAACTGCAAGATTCCTGGAAGTGGCATTCTGACTAATCCATGCATCATTTACCGCTCCTAACGTTATGTTGTTCCACCATATGGTAGTATTAACAGATTTCATGGAGTTGATGTTCATGCCTTCCATGGTTCAAAGTTGCGGTCACGATTGCGGTCGTGGCTTGGACCGTTCCACATCGGTTTTAACATATCGGTCTCGGTGAGACGCGAATTTGTGAAATATTTAATATTTTAAAAATTGTAAAAAATATGATAAACAAAAATAATAAAAAAATTAGTAAAAATAATAAAAATTCAAGTTGACTCGGGAGGACTTAGAGTGACTCGGTGTGATTCGGCCGTTTCAACCCTCATGGTGACGTCTCGCCCTGTCACGTATCTCGAAAATGTTTCGTCGCAGTCTCGTCTCGGACTCGGCCGAGTCGGAGTCTTTGAACCAATTGCCTACATGGGTGATGGAACGGTCCCAATAATTTGGAAAAGTATCGAATTCCACAGCAACGAACGGGTCAGCAGTGTTATTTTCCGCCATATTACCATTTACCACCAGCTCTAAGCCCAGGCCACTACCTTCTGTAGCTACAGCTGGAATTAACAGGAGCCAAGAAGAAGGCAAGTCCATCAGCATAGCTGCTGCTACCTTCTGAGTCGATGGTAAAGGTGAAATAAGTGATGAAATCTGTTAAAATTCCTGAAGCCTTGTCCCACAAATGCGGAGGCTTAACATAGGTGGCTCTTCCTGATTTATTGCCCAACACGTCATGGAGTGACTTGGATGCCTTGGTTTGAGATATAAGCATCTCCTGTAGCATTTATGAAGCGATTTGTATGATATTGACTGATTGCAAAAAGGTTGAAGTACAATGCAAATGCATCACGAAATCTGAGAAGAAAGAAGAAAAAGATCTTCAGAAGAATGACCACAGCCATGGGTTGGTCAAGTCTGGGGGTTGCTCTGTCTAATTAAACTGTAAATATATACCTGAGAAACAATCTTAGTAGGTCATATACTTCGTGTGTTCAAGTAGTCCTCCAAGACTTTTCAACAAAATAATTGGTCTTTCTTGAATTGATAACCTTTGTATTGTTCAAAGCTATAATTTTCTAGTTACGAATGGCTAACTTCTAAATCTATGCAAAGGTTCTTCTATTTCTACTGGTGATCAGGGTCAATGCTGTGGCTGCAACAGAGTTCCAACATCTCTTTTTCTTCATGAACGTGGAAGGTCTTAGCCTGTCCAACTCCTCTGCAATGCTTATGCTGTTCGATCACTGTACTGTTTCTAAAATGATTTGGTCCTGGGAAATTATTATCGCTGTCACACTACGATAAAATTGAAAAAAATACGAGTGATTTGCAGGTCCTTGAACACGGTTTTACGCAACTGCAAACCAGTCTAACCAGTAATAAAAATTGATGCCTGAGGTGAATATGGTTCGACACTTGAAGTCAACTGTGAAGAGTTGGCGTAATGAGGTATAGGATGACAATTGGATTTGGCTGCTGTCAGAAATATCTGCATGCTGCGGATATATTGTGGTGTTCTTGGCAATGAGATGGGGTGCACTGTGTTGGGACTTGGGACAGGGACACCAGATGGAAGAATTGGCAGTGGAGCTTCAAAATGAAGCACAGAGTCAATTTGATAACTCAAGGCCGGATATTATGAGCACACATCAAAGGCCAACAATCATACATCAAGTGTTCCATTTCCTCCCCAGTGAATTCTAAATGGAGTTTCTGGTGCCGCAGATGCAACAGGATTTGCCATTCCACAAGGGCCAAAACCCGTTCAACCATGTTTTCTTGACTTTCGTTCCTTTGTCATTTCCCCAAGCACTTTCCAATGCTACATACAACTCCAATGCTCTGGATCATCAGTTTCTCTACCGGATTTGCCTGTGATGGCACGTTCAGGAACCATGTAGCCCATACTAGCAGCGTCAACTGTTGTTTGGGATTTCTTTTCATAGCTAACAAGACTTGCCAAAGCCAAAGTCCTCATGTTTTGCTCTGAAACAGGAATCTAGCAAAATATTACCAGACTTTTTGAGCGCAACGGATCTTCTGTCCCACACTCTGTGCCACTCTCCGTCCCACTTTTTATTATATTGCTATTTTTCCTTCACAAACATCATGTTTTAATTCCTTTTTATTTCCTTATGATCCAATAACCATTAATTGAGTAATACACAAAATTTAACAAACTCAAAAAATCAAAATGCATAAAAAATGAGATTTTTTATGAATTTTCTGCTGTATTTTTTAATTTTCTATTATATATTAACTTTTTGAAACTGTTGTATTTATTTTTTACTCAATTAATAGTTATTGGATCATAAGGAAATAAAAAGGAATTAAAACATGATGTTTGTGAAAGAGAAATAGCAATATAATAAAAAATGGGACAGAGAGTGGTACAGAGTGTGGGACAGAAGATCCGTTGCGCTTCTGTCCCACACTCTGTGCCACTCTCCGTCCCACTTTTTATTATATTGCTATTTTTCCTTCACAAACATCATGTTTTAATTCCTTTTTATTTCCTTATGATCCAATAACCATTAATTGAGTAATACACAAAATTGAGGCTAAGTCTTGATTAATACTACTGTAACTTATATTCCGTGTTAGTAAGCTTTTCTCCTTTGCTCCTCAAAAAAAAAAAAAAAAAAAAACCTTTTCTCCTTTGAAAAGATGGGAGTCCAAGCCCAAGCCGCCATTGGCCATGAATTCACACTAGCGGACGACGGACATTAATCTTCCTAAAGTTAAAAGTGGATGGGATTAATTAAGGGATAATTTTAGAAACCTTCCTTGAGGTTTTTGACAATTTCACTACCCTCGCCTGAGGTTTTAAAAATTTTACTTACATCCCTTGTCAGTCAAAACCCAATGCTTACATCACTAATGGCTAAATGACTTTATTGCCCTTATCATTTAGGATAATTACACATACTATATGTGAAGGAAAAGAGTTAAAATTTTGCTAACTACATTAACCATAATTTGGATTGTAAAAAGTTAATTAATTTGCCATCTAAACGTAGAGTCAATATTAGGTGTAAATTTTTTAATTTTTATATACTTG